CATTGGGTGCGGTATCCATGTAATACTAAGGGCCTAACTTCTATGTGCCAAGTTATTATGATCAATTTTAACTTTTGGGTAATCAAAATTCACAAATAGTGGAAAATAATAAAACACAAATAATTTGTTTACATGTAGATGGAGTGAGTAAAAAAAAAATTGTTTATCAACAATTCAAAATTAAAACAATAATAATAATGATTTATTAACCATATTTATTGACAATACATTCTTATATGATGCTATAGTAATTTTTTTGCTCTTTTTTATTGGAAAGGACATGTAAATTAATATCTATCCACTCATTCAAGATCATTTATGATAAAGATTTATCTATTTTTAAGATAATGTTAACAATATTTTTTTCTTATATTATGAAATAACATGAAAGCGAATGAAACAAGAACGAGAAAGAAGTTGGAGAATAATATCAACAAGAAGAAAGAAAGCTTGTAACTTATATTTTATTTCACAAAAATATACTTATTTATGACATGAAGAAATTGTAACTCTTAAAATGAAAATTTATTGTGCAATAATTCTTGTAAGTAATTTCTATTTATATCATAATTCTCGAACATCGATAATTGTTACATGCAAATATCCACTAATTTTAAAGAAGAGAAACTCATTAGTTATCTGTTGGTGATGAATTAAAACTCCCAAGAAATAATTGTTAAATTGCCAAGAATATTATTGTTTTTGTTGGTGGCAAAAAGGTGCAATAGCCAATTCATAAAACTTCTCCTTAAATGTTTACCTTTTTATTATATATTGTTAAACTACTTCATTAAAAACCTTATTAGGCAAAGGGAAAAAAGTGTGATGCATATAACACTCCCCCTTAATTCAACAAATATTTTTAGTTAGGCAATTCATGCTAATTTTGTGTCTCAATTTCTCATTAATTCTAATACCTAGTGATTTTGTGAATAGAATCTACTCAATTCTCACTTAAGAAGATTTAATAAAAGATTATTTCATTTCTCCTTAGAAATTTGTACGTAGAAAATTGCTTTGGCTCATGTTCATTGATTCCAATAATTGACATTAAATTAATACTAGTTTAAGTATTATATGGGTTTGTTTTAGCGTTTAGGAGGCAGCTGTTGTTGGCTCCTAAACAGCAATTTAAAGATATTTGAGTAAGTTTTTTTTATTAAAAAGATGTGAATCAATTAACAGTTATTGAGAATCTAAATAGTTACAAAATGAATGACTACCAAAGTTAACTATTTGAGTTAAACCCTATTCTTAATTTTTTGTACTCTCTTATTTGCACCAATATACGCCTAACAATATTCCTAAAATCTTTGCAAAAACCTTGAGCAATTAATCTACCCACTGTTCCAAATATTGTTCCGAATTTTTGAAAAAATTGTGGAGAAAGAGGGAGAGGAAGCTGAGAGGTGAGATTCAAAGGAAACAATAGAGCATTCAATGCTTTGGGAAACAGTGATGGTGGCTAGTGATCAACGTCAAATGGATCAACAAAGACTGATGCACTTCGGTAAGGAGAAGCAATTGTGGGGGAGAGAGAGAGAAAAAAGAGAATTGAGGAGGGGAAGATGAAGGATGAGGAACAGATTTGTTGGAGTTAAAAAGGGAAAATTAAATATAATCCAAACTTATTCCTATGGGGGAGGTGGGATACTATTCACATAGTCCACTTAAGAGAGGATACAAGATGGGATAAACATCATCTCATCCCTTAACTCTCCCAAACATTGCTTATGGTAAGATTGGGCACAAAATTTATCCAATCCCACGACTTATCCGGCACTCCAAAGATACTATTAAAATATAAATTAGAAAAATCTATTATTTATCTATTTGTAGTATTATTATAAAAATAAAAAATGACACTAATTTAACTAACCTAAAATATATCCTTAATAGTAATTTAACTCTAACAAAAACAGTTATTTGCTCTATTACTAAACACTAATTACAAACCATAACAATTATCAACTATTAGTTATTAGTTATTAGTTATTGACCATTAGTCATCCGTCATCGATTATCAATTATCATTTATCATTTAAATTTAAAAGGTTAATCCAAACCCTATGTTTTTTTTTATAAAAGTGTAAAAACTATGAGTTGATTTTGTGACGTTAAGTTAAATTTTTATCTTCGATTTTATTTATTAAAAATAAACAACATAAATTGCTAACAATGAAGAGTGGGTGGTGTAAGTGGCCTAGTGGAATGAGTATCTTATTTGCTTCTAAAGGTTCAGTATTCAAATGTTTGTATTACTTTGTTTATTTTTATTTCTTATTTTTATTTCTTATTTTTATTTATTTTATTTTTTAAAAACTTAAATAGAACAATCTTAGTCTAAATTGAACTAGTCTCAAGTAAAGACCAAGACCGACTTATGTGAGCTAGTCTCAGTCAAGTAATTTCCAAACCAAGATTGGTTTGTTCTAGCCTCGACCCACCTGGAACCGCTGGATAACATTAACACCAATACTTTTTTAGTCTCACTTAACTCTTTCAAGTTTCTTTATAATTTGTAGGCCAAATAAAAAAAAGTTCCACCAATAATTATAACTTCTCAAAAAAGAAGAAGAAGAAGACAGTACGATTGGTGCATATGTATCTAGTTATCTATCCCTGCTGACACCGACGATCTATTGGTTTAGTTTCCTTAGTAATAACTTAAGTTTAAATTTTGTAAATAAAAAATTAAGTATTGAAAGAGTTTTCCCTTTAATAAAAGGCAACTTAATAAAAAGCAATAAAAGTTCCACCAATAATTAGAACTTCTCAAAAAAAAAAAAAGAGACAGCACCATAGGTGCATATGTATCTAGTTATCGACCCTTGGTGACACCGATAACCTATTGATTTAAGTAGGAGTTTAGTTTTCTTTCGATAAGAACTTAAGTTTGAGTCTTGAAAATAAAAAAACAAGCATTGAAAGAACTTTTCCTTTTATAAGTTACGACTCGACTCAATTTTAAATTAATTAATAACTTACTATAACTTTCAGATATTGAGAAGTTTGAAAAAAAAAAAATCTACACTGGTGATAGGTGAGAGGCCCCATTAGAAGTTATTGCATGCAAGTTGTGTGACTTGGTGTCAGGTGAGAGGCCCTATTAGAGGTTATTGCATGGCCCCATTAGAGGTTATTGCATGGCCCCATTAGAGGTTATTGCATGCAAGTTGTGTACCCTAGTGATAGGTGAGAGGCCTCATTAGAAGTTGTTGCACGCAAGTTGCAAGTCATTGCACGCAAGTTGCAAGTCATTGCACGCAAGTTGCGTACCATGGTGACAGGTGAGAGGCCTCATTAGAAGTTATTGCATGCAAGTTGTGTACCTTTGGATGAAACAAAAAAAGGATGGACTAGATAGAATGTGAAAGATATATAGCAATAAATGAAACCTTTTTCTACCAGCAAAAATAATTGCAGTTTATCCCCTTGTATGAATACATATATGAGGCCCAAAATAAAATACAACATATTGATAGAATATTTTTCCTTCTTGACAAACTATAACTACCTCGGTCATGTTGATTAAATGTCAATGTAGGATGGTTGATAGATTACTAAATCTATGTGCTTAGATCTTAGTTGAAATTGTCACCCCTTAATTTACCCCCTTTCTTTTTCCTTTTGCACACAAGTTTATATGTTTAGTCATTACGTACTGAGTTGAAACTGTTAATCTTGACTCCATCAAAGTTTTGAAATTATAGATTACAAATTCAATTAAGTCATTGGTTTAAGTTTTATTTTTGAAAGCATTAATTAGACTTAGAATTAGTTTTATTTTTCATTAGCCAAAATAAAAAATTAGGAGTAAACCTAAAGTAAAGTGTTCTCGTATGCTAGCTAAGTAAAATTATTGAGACCAAAGTATTTTTCATCTCAGGTTAGTTCTACCCAAAGTCACAACTCATCAAATAAAAACTCTTCTAAGCTAATTTCTTTTTATTTCTTAGAATTTCTTTTGCACTCCATGGCCAAACTTAACCGACTTAGAGCATGCAAGGCTTGATCCGCTGCTTGGACAGACTTGATGGCACGATGAAAAATAGCAATCACTAAAGTGTTATGGCTACACTAATCTAAAATGACTAAAAAACTGAGCTTGTGTCTCTCTAAAATCAAATGAATAGTTTAGGAATAGTAACATGAACATGGCTTTGTAGTTTTGTGTAAAAATACAAAAAACCCAATACAAAAGGGCAATGTCAAGGGGCAATTCTAGACATCCATGGGACTAACGTTTGATATTTTTTGGTTGATAATAGTTGCTGTGCATATCAAGTTTTTTTTTCACTTAATGGGACGTGTGAACTTGTATTTATAAACATCTACTTATTTAATATTTTGTTTATTTATTTTTAATAAATTTAATTTAATTTTTTATTTTAAGATATAATTTTAAATAAAAATTTAATAATCTATATAAACAATAATTGAAAATTTTTTTATCAAATAAAAATATTTAATAAGAATTATATAT